TCCTTATTCCGGTTTTTATTTCAATAGTCTGATGGGTGCGGAAGTTGTATCCTTCCTCCCCCGCCGTCCCGCGTCCCCTTCACCCAAGCGGAAAAGCTGAAGAAAACAAAAAAAAAGATGTGGAAGGGGGAAAACTTACCAAAGAAAAACCCATCAAAAAGATCCAAGCCATTGCCATCACTCCAATCATGCGTGCCATCTCCAAATCCCATGCCGAAGCCAATACCTACATCTTGCATTGCGCTTGTAGCACTGCCGTCGTTATTTGCTGTGCCGCCTACACCACCACTAGCGCCTTGGAGGGGAAAGCTCTCAAGGAAGTCGAGGTCAGAGAAGCCTGCTAAGTCGGGGTAGGAGGAGTTTAGGGTTTGGGGGAAGGGGGGGTAGGAAGGGACTTGGTAAGGGGAGGGCATTGGGGGGTTTGCGGGGGGTGTGGTGGAGAAGGTGTTGGTACTAGATTGTTGGGTTGGGCTTTGGGGGTAGAAAGGGGGCTGTTGCTGTGACTGCTGCTGCTGCTGTTGTTGTTGTTGGAGAGAGGGATGACGGAGTTGGGGGGAGATTTTGAGGTCGGCGGTGAAAGGGTGTTGGAGTTGTTGTTTTAGCGGCGGTGGTGGGGGCCGCATGGCGTTTACCTGGTTGCTGACGCGGCTGAAGGAGCGTTTGTCTGTTTCGTCGTCGGAGAAGAGGTCCTTGAGGTTCATGTCGAAGCGCGGTATTGGACGCCGTTGCTGTGGCTGCTGTGATTGCTGCTGATGTTGGCGTTGTTGGCTAAAGAACCCCGCTGTGTCTGCTGCGCCGTAACCCTGCATGTCAGTGTCGGACCTCGTATCTGCATCTGCAGACGAGTGGGTTTTGCTTGGCGAACTTTGTGAATGATAGTGTTGATGGAGCTGCGGCATGGAGCGCAGCGCCTGGGGTCCAAAGCCAGTCGTTGACATGCACATCTGAATCGTCGCCTTACTCATTCGGTCAAATGCGTCACGACACGCTTCTGCAGGTGGGCACTTGTCGATCAAATCGCCCAAGACGGATGTGGCGGCTAGGACGGTAAAGTCGACGTCGTCGAGTGACTGCAGTGGTCAGCTAGATCAGACTATACGCATATACCCTGTATCACAGGCATATTACACCGACGTACCAATAAGCTCCGTACGTGGACACTATGCCATACTGCGTATAGAAAGGAGATGCCTGAAACATGTTAGCATGCGGCTGGCAATAAATCTAAAATGCACTTACCCGCCATGAAAAGATGATGCGTAGCCAGGAATGTATAGTTGACCAGATGCACCCGATGTAGCTGTCGATAGAGTTTGAGCACCTTTTGCCCAGCTTCGGCTACCTTGAGAAAGACCAGATCTTCATCTTCTCTCTCTTCAAGGTTGCTCATAGACGGACTTCCCATGTCGGAGCCAGTGTTGCCAAGTTCGTCCTGCAGGCCAGATGGCACCACCAGGCTCTGTCGGTAGAGCATGATGAGTGCTTGCCAATAATTGAGCTCTAAAAAGAGGGGGGAAAACTGCACGCCAGCGTCTTGTTGCGTCGGCGCAGAATCCTTCCATTCCAGCAGCCGCCTGTCGACATCGACGCGCCAGGCTCGGAATGACTCAAAATTGACCAGGAATGGGGAGGGTAGCTTAGTATGCATAAACTCGTTTTGTCTGTTCGCACCACTTGCCCTTGCCTGCTGTGCCTGTCTATGCTGCAGGACCTGCAAGATTTCGGACTGCAGTAGTCTCAGCCGAAAATAATGGTGGGCCACAATCTTGTATGTTGGCTTTTCTTGGTGGGGCGGCGGTGTCAGAAATCCCTCTTTGGTAATGTAACGGTCATCGAGCAGTGAAGGGAACTCTGTAGTTACAATCTGATCTGTGATACCCTGATTAATTGTTAGCTCTCAGGTATTCAATTGCATTTCAGAGGACTGGGAGAGAGCCGAGATCAAGCCACTACCGTTTCAGGATTCCCACAAACCTAATATACCAGAAAAGGCGTACTTACGAATGGTCTACCAACGCATGTGCTCACAAGCCTGTCAAGAGAGTAAACGCACCACCACAACCGTCTCCGCAAGTCTCTAACCCACTGTCTGCGGCCTCGTTCTTTGGCGTCGATCTTTGAGGTATTGGCACTGCTGGTAGCCGTTGCACTGCCGTTACCTTGGGTCTTGGAGGTCGAATTCCCAATAGTCGGGTCTTCCGATGCTGTCCCATCGATACCCACACCGTCTTCGTAATGCAACCCTAAATCGACACCAAGACGGACAGCAACGCCGACAATATACCACAGACCCGGGGCCACGGGTCTGAGGAGTGCAAAGCCTGCAAGAAGTAGCACAGCCTGTAGTTCTTCCAGTCCACCGCCGAAGCCGTCGGGCCGGTCCGCAGCAGGGGACGAGCCCAGAAAGTTTTCTAGATGCACAATGGCGGAAGCATGGTACTCTTCGGGATGATGCTGGTGACCTGCAAGTCGCCGCTTCTTGCTACTCGGTGGTGATGATCGTGACTTGGTTGGGAAACGGCCGTGGTCCGACGTCGGGGAGCCCTCAGAGTCGGAACTGCCCAGTATGATACCAGCGCCTATGGCAAAGACAATGTTGAGCATGTACGATTCTCGCGAGGTGCGGTTCCGCTCCCCCGAGGCGTACACGCGCTCAAACAGCTCCATGAACTCGCCACGATGCAGAATGGGAATCTGCGGGTTTGCGTGCTCAAAGTACAGCTCAACCAGACGCGACCCGAGTTCTCGGTCAGGAAAGGGCGCCTGCCGGATGGTAGATTTGGTCTGCAGGCCAAAGAACGAGTCGCGCATCGAGGTACCGCTGTCGACGACGCTGCTCGGCACCTTGCCTCCGCGGTTGCTTCCGCGCTCAGAGGAGGAGCCCGATACTGAGCTCTTGACCGCAGCAAACACTACTCTTGCAAAGGATATGCCGGAGGTTGAGCCCAGGTACCGCGGGTCGCTTGCGCCTTGCACCGAGACCATTCCAATGTTTGACACAAGCTTTGTCAGCTTCTCGCGATCATACTTGTCGCTCTCCTCCTTGACCTGAGTGGGTGTCTGCGAGGTGGTGCCATTGCGAGGTGGTGGCGCAGCAGCAGCAGCGGCGGATACGGGCTTTGACGAGGAAGATGCGCTGAGCGCAAAGGCCGGATTGAAGTCTTCTGCTTCCTGGAATGTAATCGAATGCTCTTGCAGTAGTGTCTCGAGGTATGCGACGCGGGTTTCAAGGTAGTAGACATAGCTATCGCACTTGTCAGCGTTTGAGCCGAGGCCAATGCAGAAAGAAGGCTTCACAGCCCGTGTGTGATTTTCGTACCTGCGCGGAATCTCACGCTTGGTGATGGGATCGTAGCCCACGCACTTGACGCTGGCCTTGTCGCATGAAGCGCACGAGGGAAGGCGTTGGTCGCATCTATTCTTGCGGAGCCTGCAGCGGTTGCACGCGCTCACATTGCGGAACGAGCTCGCGGACGAGGGCGCGGCGGGCGATGCGGGCTTCACTGTGGACACAGAGGAGTCCGAGGGCGAGGGCCTGTCGCCGTCATGAGAGGACTCCTCCAAAGAGCGCTTGAGACCGCTCATCAGGGCGCATGGCAAGAAATGTCAGGGTTTCGGCTAGTGAGAGCTTTGGCGGCGTGTCTCCGAGCTCACTCAAGACGGACGGGGCGGGCAAGCTCTCTCTAGTCTCCCCGCACTTTGAACATAGTAAGGCGTCAGTCAGTCAACGTCAACCACCACCACCAATGCCAATGCCAATGCCAATGCCACCAACACCACAGTGGCCGACCAAGATAGCAACGTGGGATGCGATTGCGTGTCCAAGAAATCGCGCGGCGGGCGTGCAGGTGCCATTCTGCCTGTCCCCCCCGCGAAGCAATCGATGGCTGTTGGTCGCTCGTTGCATAGCTAGTAGGCTGTGCCGTGGCCCTTATCTCTCTCCAGCAGTGTCTTGTAGATAGGCTGGCTGCGTGGGCTAGGACATTGGGTTACTAATACTGCGACACACCTCGGCCATCATGACTGCTACCAAGTATCGCGAGTGGGGCATATTTTGGGTTTTGGCCATAATTTCCTGTCCCCCCCCCCAAACGCAATCACCACCGAGACGTTCGCCTGATAAGTATGAGTCCACGCGGTGCTAGTTGCTTCACCCCGTGACCTTGAAAGCATTGTGCCGGAGATCCTCACTCTTAGCATGGTGGTCACTGACTCGGGACCCTGAGTATTGCGATGCGCATGAAGCACACCGATTCAGGCACGTGTAGAAGCAAAAAGGAAGCATCTGTAACATCCAAGGGGGGACCCCTTCGGTCCCTTCGGTCCCTTCGGTTATGCTTATGCTGTTAGACTTGTTTCGCAGAACCTCGCGTAGATCATTCTGACTCTGCATCGGGCCCACACACGGCTTCATTCCAGCCAACTCACCGCTGCAACTCTTTGTCCGAGTCAGGCCTGTCAGCGTTACAACCCTCCCCCATGCTTATGCACGCGTAGTCCGGAACTAACAAGAAAAAAAAAAGCAACTCTGCTAGTGTTTGAGAATCATTCATGTCATCCATTTGCCTGAGCAAGCTATTCTAACTAACATAGTACATACAGTGTGATGATGGGGAAATAATACATGCCGGGGGTATTCTGTTCTTGAAACAAACGCCTGCTCAACAACCATTGCTGGTCTCTGAATACAACTGAGCTTTTCCGTCTAATAAAAATGTTGTTCAAATGTGCCGCCCAAATAAGTCATGTCGCTAAGTCGCTCCCATGATAATATACGCCGATTAAAAAAGAGTACAAAGGGTTCGTCGTCGAACCCACCAATAAAAGTCTATTATTCCCAAGGTGAAATGCAAAAGCAAAAAGGAGAGGGTCGCTGCCAGCGCGTAAAGGTCGAGTCCATGGCAGGGGCTGTATTCCAGAAGGCGAAGAAGAGGAAGAGGAAAAAGAATATGTATATATACGAATGCGCCGTGTTGTGTAGGTCGTGAACTTTTCGAAGTCTATTTTGCGAGAACGGTGTCTACCGTCTCATCCGGGGTAAGGGTGATGATGGAATCGGCGTCAGAGTCGTTGTCTAGAAGGGCCTCCTCGTCGTCCTGGCAAGTAAAGTTGGGTCGCTTGTTGCCCTCCTGCAGAGCGAATCCGGGAAGCCAGCCGAGAAAGGCTACTGCAGCAATGGTCCACCATGCGAGGCCCGACATGTGCAGTGAGGTGCCTAGGCTGTCAACGGCGCCGGAAACAGTAGGACCGAAACCGCGCGCAATGCTTGCAGAAGACATGGCAACACCGTTGAGCGTACCGAGCACCTTTTTCGAGGGAGATGAGTTTGCGAGGATGATGGCCAGAGAGGGATACGAGAGCGACTGGAAGGTAACTTTGGCGATGAGCAAAACCATGAGTCCAGGGATGCGGAGGCTCTCAGGAAGAATGGCCAGATACGGAGCCAGGAGGTAGAGGATAGGGTAGCAGGAAAGCGTGATCCAGAAGGTGCGAAGGCTGCCAAGCTTCTTGCTAAGCCAGGGAAAGACAATGACCTGAGCGAACATTTGGAGGAAGCCCTGGGCAGCAAGGAAAGCCCCGGTAGTCTGAGTCGACCATCCGAATCCGCCCTCAAAGTGGAAGGGAAGATGCTGGTCGTCGCCAGAGGGCAGCTTCTTGGACATGAGAATGGGCAGAAGCTGCTCGAGCGAGATTGTGTGGAATGCGAGGATGCCGTAGCATACCACGTTGATGCACACTTGCTTGGAAAAAGCCTGTCGGATCGTAGGCGCGGGTGGGAGTTCCTTGTCGAGGGAGAAGTCGGGCAATTCCGAAATCGAGGTGCGAGTGCTGCAGAGCGTGGGCGAAGTCTCAGTACTGCGGTATGCCTGGGCATTGTGGTCGTGGTCGTTGAGCATCGATGTCATTTCGTCTAGTGAGGCATCCTTGTCGTCAAAAGTTTGCTCTGCATCGCGCTTCCAGAGCTTGCGGAGCAGCCATTGGCCAGCCTCGCGGCCGCGATCTTGATCGTACTTGCGATCTTCGTGAGTCTCCTCGAGGAACAGGATGCCGACCGTGAGTCCGAGAATAACAAAACCAGTGCATACAAGGTTTGGAAGAAGAAACGGGTACGTTTCGAAGATGGTGGCTTTGAAAAAAGGCATTACGTCGGCAGGGCGGGCAAGCAAGCCGCCAAGGGCTCCGCCAATAATGGTGCTGCAAAATGAGCGGTCAGCCAAGGACAAATGGGGGAAGCCGAAGGAGAAAGCGTACCCAAGGCACCAAACAAAGGGCATGATGGAATAAGCGCGAGCTATGGGGGGAAAAAAAGTCAGCTAGGATCGGCGTTGTTAATTAAAGGTTAGGGCAAACTTACGCTGGTGTCGCTCATCCGTGATCAATTCTGCGACGGTGGTTTGGAGTACGCCGATGTTCCTGCATATTCGGTTAGCGAGGCTCTGGCGCTAAACCAGACTATGACCTCACCCGTTCAGCAAACCCCCGAGAGCCCGGGCAATGAGCGCCATTGGCAGACTCTGGGAGAAGCCGAAAAGAAGCATGCTCAGCCCCGTGCCCAGAAGGCCCCCGAGCAGCACCTTCTTCCGTCCAACTCGGTCGCTGAGTCGGCCCCAGAAAATGCCACTGATGCACTCCATGAAGGCGAATGACGAAGTAACCATGCCCGTGTACATTGAAATTTGGGCTGAGCTCTGGCCACTCATGAAGGATTCGACCATGAAGTAGGCATAGGGAAAGATCGACATGAAGGCGATGGGTTCGCATATCCGGCACAGGGCTGATGATGGTCGGTTAGCGAGTCACATGACGGTGACAACGAGGTCGGGGCGGATGCAGTGCGGCTTACCCAGTACGGCCATCTGTCGAGTAGGGAAGGGTGTTTTGGCGCTGCCCATGGCAGTTGGGGCGCCATACCGAGGCATTGTGGTGTTAGTGGTAGTGGTAGTGGTCGTGGTAGTAGTAGTGGTGATGATGGTGATAGTTGTTGTTGTAGTAGTAGTAATAGTATTCGGGGCGCGTGTGTATTTCAAGTTGTCGACGGGGGAGTGGGGTGTAGTAGGGTGGATTATGTGAACCAATGTTTGGTGTGCTGGGGGGGTTAAAGGCGATTGTGGTGGCAGCGGCAGCAGCAGCAACAGGTGGCAGACGGAGAGAGATAAAACATGTGCGAGGGCTGGGACAGATGGGTACCTCCAGGGTTCAAGAGGAGCGTGCTGGAAGGAGACGAGTGTCACAGGTATATAAGGAGCAGCAAGATTTCAGTGGCGTCCTGAAAACGGATAGCCCGCTGGGAGTGAGCAAGGATGGTGGCGGCGGGGAAGAAACGGAGAAGAAGCGGTGATGGCAGTGGGTATGGATACGTAGTGTGGGCGGATAGGGACAGCGGAAGGACCAGCAAATGTAAAATGAGGAGCGGATCCGTGATGGCATGGTTGCTACGACAGGGCGCACAGTGGGCGGCGGGCAAGCAAGCAAGCAAGCAAACTACGTACGTGTAACTACTACTACTACTGCTGCTGCTGCTACTGCTAGGCCGTTTGTTTGTGGGCGTCACCGGACAGACAGGCATACAGACAGACATGAGCATCAAGTGGAGATGATGGTGCGTGTGAGTGTGTGCGCCGCAGGAGCAGGAGCAGGCACAGACACAGACAGGCGCAGAAGCAGCAGCATCAGCAAGCAAGCAAGCAAGCAAGCAGGCTGGCTCGGGCTGGAGGCGACTCCAACGACCCCTGAAGGGAGGGCCAGGGCTGGGCTGGGGAAGAGAGCAGCTGGCGGTGGTGGGCGGTGGTTCGGGTTGGGCGGAATCCACGACATTGGACGAAGCTAGAAGGAAGCGAGTAAGGCGGACCAGGGGAGAGTTACAAGAGCGTTGGACGTGGCTCGTAAGAGGAACAGGATCACCAGCGCAGCCCGACTCCCCGGGACCCAAAGACTCGGCGCTAGAAGGGCCCGCATGCTTTTCCCACTACTCGCAGCACTACCACGGCGGACTTTTGCAGCAGACATGGCACAGGCGGAGGCACAGGCGGAGGCACAGGCGAGAGCACAGGCACAGACCAGCCGTGCAGGGACGCCCCTGCTCCAGATGGGAACGACATGCCGGCGCCGCAACTGGCCGTTCACATGCCGTAAACGGAAACCGGTAACCTGTCCGCAGCCCCGGCCGACAAATGGGACACGGTGCCGGCCTGCTGCCCACACGCCCATACGCCCATCACCCATCACCCATGGCTGCCCTGCCCTGCCCTACCCTGCCCTGCCACATCCAGCTCCAGCCCGCGACAAACACCACCACCACTACCACCACGCCCAGCCCGCCCGCGCCTCAGGGGCACCAGCGCCAGCCAGAGAGCCCGGCCAGACTGGCGACGGCGGCGGGCGGCGAGTCAGCAGAGGCGCCGAAGAATTTCTCGAAGCCCAGCTCAGACCACAGTGCGCAGCCAGGCGGGCACGGGCGTGGGCAGTGGGCAATGGGCAATGGGTCAGGCTGCTCAGGCTGCTGCGAGCGCCCATGGGCTCCCAGTGATGAGATCATTGGCACTGCATGGAACATGTGTACACATCCCACCACCCGCCTGTCCAGCATACACTGTGCCATCACACACGACGCATCTTTGTGCGCTGCTGCAACCGGCCCGCCACCAACTCCCAGGGAAAAAAGGGCGGTGTATGGGCCTGTATGGGTCTGTATTGGCCTCTCCGGTCCTCGACAGCCTGTAGAGAGCGCCCGCGACAGCCCGCCAGCGCCCGCCTGTCCTCGAGCCCTCCGCTGCGACACTGCACGCCGGCCGGTCATGCGGCGACGCGCATCAGACCTGCGTCGCTCATTCAGTCGCGATGCCATGCACATTGCTACATGCTACTCTACTTACATAAACACACACGACGACGACGATCCCGGTTGCCGTCAGCACTCCAACTGCAAACGCACGAGTCGCGCCGCTCGGCTCGCCGACGACGACGACGACGACGACGCAGCGCGTTTCGCGTCCCTCAGATCACGGCCTGGCTCCCTGCCTGCGCCGCCTTCATTTGCTGCCCCAGCTACCCATCGCACCCACATCCCTGCCCCCTCAGCCTGCCATGTGCCCTTTGGCCATGCCATGTCTTCTTACTTTGTCCTGACTTACTCTAGACGCCTATTAGCTGGATGTATCTACATGGTACAATCCGTCATTGTCATTGCCCCTCCGCTGCCATCAAATCAGCTCTGGCATTTGCTCCCATTTTTGCAAAACCCCCCCCACCGTCAGCTGACCCCCCTCGCCCGCACCTCGTGTGCGCTGGACACGCTTTGTACATACATAGTCGCTTCACACGTATCGTCGTCTAAACTGCGTCGGTACATACGTACATCATAGATGCCCATTGCCATGCCTTGCCTTGCCTTGCCTTGGCTTGCTTTGGCTTTGGCTTTTGCCCATGCTGCTACTGCCACTGCCACTGCCACCTCGCCTGGTGGGCCCCCCACTACTAGCCTCGTGCCAGCCAGCAAGCCAGCAAAGCCAGCCAGCCGTCGCAAGCCCGTCGAGCGATGCTTTGCTTGTGCTGGCCCCGGGGCAGCGCAAGCTGCACGGCAGAGGTGTCAAAGTATAACGGCTGTTTCGACGCAGCCAGTGTGGGCCATGGCCCAAGCGGCCATGGCGGTGTGGATATCTAAGGCTGGCCTGCAGATTTCCACGCGAGAGACAGGGTTTAACCATCTAGCACATGGAAGCGCCTGAGACAGCCACCGCCTTTTTTAGCCTTGCTCGACGCATGCCCCTGGCCCTCTGATTGTCCTGCTTGGAATCCTCCGAACATGGCGCCATGCTCTTTTGCTCCTAGGTTGCTGCTCGACCTCACCATGCAGCAGCGTCCGCGACTTGTCAACGGCACAGCACACGAGTCTACTTGGGTCTGCGAGGTTTCAGAGGGTTGGGGTTTGCCTAGTTCACGCGCTTGTCGGCTGCAATATGATTCACTACAAAGTCTGCACACGTAGTACTTGCTGTCCGCCCTACACCTACGCCCACTCACCGACAGCCTCGACTCCGACAGCCTGGGTCGATCAGAATTGGCCCTGCGCCCTGCTCCTCTCCCCCTCCCTCATCGTCCTGCCCACGACGTCGCCTCGATTCGGCTGCCACGACGCCTCTTTTGCTTCCTGCCATGTATAGTAAGTCCCACATGTCCTCACTCCACACATGATCCGGGGTCCTTCCGTGGCACTCCTTGGCGCCCATTGGTGATACAGTCACCGTAAGGCTACCCTTGACGCCCTGACTGGAGCCAGCGCATTTTGACTTCAACGTCGCACGACAGCAACCTCGTCCACACAACGATGCACTCTCGCGCCTAAACTCCCTGCCCGCTCTAACCCGGCGCCCTTTCTCCTTAACTCCATGCCCGCACACGCGCGGGCTCGGCACTCACAGGGCGGCTCCGGTAACTTGACGCCCCGGGTTGCCAGATTCTGGCAATGGCGTGCCACACTACATACGTGCCCGTGTCGCCGCAACGGCACCCTGGCCCGTCAATAATGCAACGGTCCAAATGCAGTTACCACGCCCTCTGTTCCATTGTGCCTGCCTATACATACCCTTTGGGCATCGGCCTTTCGCTTTTTTTCCCTCTCACACTCGGTCCGGTGCATGTTGTCCACAGATCCTTCGGCCTCAATCCTCCTTCCCCCCCCCCCTGGCCGCACTTCACACCGCGCCCCGAGTTTAAAAATGTCTGATAGAGATGAACGATGAGGATCAGGCGGGGGACCGGCACTATCGGGAAATCAAGGCCGGTACTTGTAATATTACCATAATCGGCGCCTCACCACACATACCCCCATGTCCCCTTCCTCAAATGACCTGGTCAACTCTTGAACATCACCACTACTAATCTGCCACGTCGGCGCACCGCCCCGAACGCCGTCATAATTGCTGCTGTGCGCCCACTTCATTTGCCTTGCCGGTGAAAAAAATACATCACAAGGTATACACACTTGTGTTGCACTTGAAACCAGTTGCAAATGAGGCCGAAGTGCACGATAAGGGGGCCAAGCCAAGTACATTGATCGCGTAAATTCAGCTAGCGCTGGCGCTAGTGCCAGCGCCAAGCGCCCATCCGCCGTGCTCCAAGAGCATGCCGAACCACTGTACATATACTATCACAGTCACTGTTGGCCAAAAAGATGCCGTTGTCAGGCTCTGCATCGGCTTTGCCGTCCTTTCGGAAGCAGCATCTCCTTGTCGAGTTGTACGTCGTAGGCTACACACACTCTCCTACACCTCACACAGCCTGCTAGCGCAAGCCTAACATTCGCACAGCTCGCGCCTTCGCTATGCCCAACTTGATGGCGTTTTCCTGAGCATCACGCCTGGCGACCCATCACTGTGGGTCGGTGTGATCTTCGTGCGAAAAGGTAGGGTGTTCCATAGGGCTAAGCGACTCCCCTGGTGCTTCTCGTCCATCTAGATTGGCCCCCTTGTTCACCTCTTGATAGGACCATATGCGCCTGCAGTCTTACGCTTCCAAATCTCCTTCCCACCAAGCTATCCCGCCATACCCCCCCTAGTGACCTTTTCCACCGATGTCTTTCACCCCTTGCTCACGCCGCTTACCACGTATACGTACACGACTGGATCTGCCGAGTCGGATACCGTAAGTGCCACGGATGAGGAGCGCTTGCCGCCGGGTGGATTCAGTCTGCGACACGGCTTCCCACACTGGTTTGGACGAACTCGATCCTCTGTGCCTGATTCTCGTCACCCCAGTGGCTCTGCCTTGGCCAGTCCCACACGTTCCGACTTCAATGTCACCTCGGGTGCTCCTGGTGCGGCCCGCTCGACAGAGGAAATCTCCATTGTGCGCATGATAGAGTACATACGTTCCACCTTCAGTAATGAGTCAATCTTGGACTCGCTTCCGCTCGATGCCGCTGCCAATCCAGGAGCCTATCACGCGTGGCGGGCCCATCGTGCTCCTGTTCTGCGAGCTCAGCAATCTCCACCCACAGAGCCTAGCCCTGAGCTGCCGGTAAGTGACAAGTCAGAAAGTAGCAATGCGCTAGGCCCAAACAGGCGCCCTGGAGAATGGAATTGGGAGGGTGTATGGGAGGAGCGTGTGAGAAAAGCAGTCAAGGCGAGTCTCTCTGAGCCTGTGCTTTTTGGCACAGGCGCTGGAGAAGACATTGTAAGCTCTCGACACCCACACATATGCAAGACAACATGACTAACATTTTCTTTTCTTTTTTAGATTCGCTTCCGTGAAGCAGACGAGGAAATGCAGGAGAAAATGAAGATGCACCTAGAGATGGCTGCCGCTCGTACTGCTGAAGTATAATGTGCACATGCCACATTGGCAAGAGCTGCCCTGACGCCTCCACGATGGGCAGGAGCTCGTCGATGTCACTGCGGCCTATGTACACTCAAGGACAAACACTACTGCTTGCATGGCAGGGGCGATGATCCTATTGATCTGCCCCTCCCACTATCATACCTTCTCTAAGCGATAGCTAGCCCCCTTCCCTTAGTTTCTACATCTACCTTGCATCTATGACTTTGTGTGTAAATCTCACATCTCAATCCGTGCACTAGTTACTCTTCTTAGTCATCTTCATTTGTAAAGGCAGCGAGTTTTGGCTTTGGCTTTGGCTTTCGCACACTTACAGCAGTTCACGGTGAGTGTGAGTGGGCTGCGTGAGGTGAGGTGACTGAACCTCTGTTTGTCAACACTGGCCCGCTCAAGATGATCGCAACAACAAGCGGCAGCGTCCTGCCTCCATACGTTCACCTCTGTCCATCCCCGCTACACATACACAAAAAGCAGCGCAAAGGGACATTTCGCCGGCGCATCTTCCGTAAGTCCACCCACAGTGACATTGGCGATCAGTACGTTGTTGGACCACTAGACGATATCATCGACGAGATCAAGAGCGATATTTAGGAGCTGCTGCTCGATGATATCGCCGACCTGTCTGTCCTTGATGGGGCGTGTCCAGTCAAAGCATCACCACCACCACCATCGTGCACCACGCTACCTCTATCCATCAGTCGTACTCCAAGCCACCATCCTCTGACGATACCGAAGAGCAGGAACAGTCGCTCATCAGCTTCAAGCTCGAGCTTTGAGGGTTCAATGACGCATTCGCGCAACAGCAGTCAAGGTAAGCATGTCAATAGCGCCTCAGGGCTTTTTTCGCACACCATGGGTTCCATGCCTTGGCCTTTGCCTGATGGGCCCTTGTCTGAATCTACACATGCGCCAAGGGTACTAGATCCCGCCAAGAGTCCTGAGGGTGTGAGCGCTCAACAAGCTCTAGAAGGTGTGATCCATAACGAGCAAATTCGTAACGAACCGCCAAAGCGGCCCAAGTCGAGTAAGTTGCGGCTCTTTACGAATGGTTTTCCTCTTTTGCGCCGTCAAGGCACTGAGGATACGAGTCTCAGCACTAGAACTGTGTCTGACACAGTCTCATCGCCCGTCAAAACAACATCTACAAATCACGATGAGGACAAGGAAAGGTCATTTGCGCAAGGCGTGGATCAAAGCGCCATCATGGCTTATTTGGCAAGGAATGCTCGCGAGTATGTCACTCCCGTCCTACTACGCGAAAAAAAAGAAAATACTAACGGTGTTTAGCGGGGAAAAGGTCAAGTCTTTCATGGATCTCTTCAAGAAGCACATGCCTCCACCAACAGACTACGACCGAGAGGCGGCTGATGCGTATGTTCCGGACTCGCCTCTCGCGCTACCGACCACTTTACGAGCGGCGATTAGACTGTTCCCAGATGCCAAGGTGCTTACAGAGGACGTACAGGAGGTTACCGTCGCAATCGATATTGAGGGCATTCTACACAATCAGAGATCTCTTTCTGAAACCGCGATAGACGTGGTCTTTGTGGTAGACAACGGGCAAGTGCAAAACACATCGGTCTAGAAGATGCAAATTAACGCAAGACATAGGTACTATGTGACCCAGGCCTGTCTGGAAAAGTCCCTAGAAGCAGTCAACGGAGCTCTGGTAGGCTGCATTGGCGAAAAAAGAAAGTTAACTAGCTAGCTTTCCTGTGCTTACTTTTTATAGTATCACCTCGGCTCTGGGGACCGGTTGGCGTTGTATACCACACATTGCACTCACCGGAAAGTGACCGGAAATCGACCTGACATGCTGTGTCCGATACGGCGCTTCGGCAAGGATACAGAATCAATGATCCGAGAACTTACAACTAGGATTTTACGGTCCGGTACCCAAGTCTGGGATCCGCCTCGGCCAAACCCATCCATGGTCGATGTCGTCCTTGGCATAGCTAGGTCACTTGAGGTCGAACATCTCAAGGCTGGCCGTACCCATGTTATTGTACTATCGCCCGCAGCTCACGTACTTCATGATGTGTCGAAATACTTTGCAGATCTCCATCTCCATAGAATCAATCCGGCAGTACTTCCGTATCGTCGCCAGCCAGAGTTTCAGGATACGATCTGCACTGATACCTGCTGTAGTAATGTTTTTGCGAGCAACTGGTCCAAGTATCAGTCGACTCCCAGTCGCATCAAGCGCATCTTACGAAATGCGCGATGCACAAAGCCTGTAGGAGAGCTGACTGGCTTGAGCGTCGATGTCCGGACCCGAACAGGCTGCGAGCTTATCGAGTTTTACGGGAATAAGGAGATTGCTCAGCTATACCTGGGAGAAGTGCACACGCTATTCGTCAAAGTACGCGTCACCAAGGGGGAAGCCCGGCGCATCAATCTGGACTCTGATAATCCCATTCTCAACTCGAACCTGGATGCCAATGGCTTGAGACAGGAGCTGTTAAATTCTGTCCATGTAGGTGCGACCAGGCTACACCTTTTTGACGTGCAAATATTGTATCGCAACTCCATACATGAATCGCGAACCTGGAACTACACTGAGAGCCCTTTGATCCTCATAAGTGAGATGGGCGGTCTAGCTCCACCTCGGGATTCTGCCTTGGAGGTTTACAGGCGCCAATACTTTTGCCACATTACCCAGGCTCCACCTGACGAAGCCAAGGCTGTGGCTGAGGGTATTCTTGATGCACTTGGTGAGAATAACGAACAAGCCAAGGAGCTGGTTGAGTGCATGATTGGGGAACTGCGGTGGCATTTGGCGATCCGCGAGTACGAGCAACAATGCCGACAAAGGCTTCCGCTGTGTCCTGGCCCCATTGAAATTGAAACACCCCACCAGTGGCTGATGGAGTTGTGGAACCACCGGAAGAACAAGTGCGACTGCATCGACGCCTCTGACCGTCTATGAGGAAGGGGGGTATACGTGGGTGAGTAGTGACGGGTTGAAGATTACTGAACAAGAGCTCTGGAAGCATGGCATAACAGCTGGTGCATTTGTTCTTTTCTTTCGTTTTCTTTTGGCCAGGTTAGCGGTCGGATTCGCTTCGTGATGGAGATGACAGGAGCCGACGGCAAGAGCGAATACAACCACAGGGCGGAGTAGGGAGTCCTTGCTCTGCTTTGGCCGTTGCGGATCCATAATTGGGAAGGAGTTCAAATGCGGGAGTCTGATGTTCCACAACGGCCTTTTGGATGACAAGGCAGGCTGCCAGGTTCTGAACCAATCAGGGCCAGGGAGGGCGAGAGTTCCCACAATCGTAAGCACAGATAGTGGGGTTGTCACAGTCACGGCCCCCCCAGATTTTATGGCGGTATATTAGCATGTTCAATAACTACACCTAGGTCATAGCATGCATATGTACATGAAAGAAGCAAAAGAGTGGACCGGTTCTAACATGGAAAGACCCCTGGTGCATAGACGTGCATGCTCGTACGTGCATATGCAAGATGAGATCTCGTCAGGCCCATGCCTATGCAGTCGCATTGAAGATTGCGGAGCACTTACTCGATGACGTCCTGTACTGATTGCTTTTTCGTCTCGGAACTTTTTACTTTTCGGGCCTCACACCGCCTGTGCAGCGTGCCTTCCGGATGATGCCGGCTGAGAACACCCCTTCTTCTTTTTTTGAACGGCACCCACACACATGCACCCACACACGGACTCGTCCAGGCCCGCACGCGAAAGAAGGAAGAGAAAAAAGAAAACGCACGGAGGTAAGATCCATTGGACTTCGAGACGAGGCTGTGCCGCACCCACTAGCGTGCATACCGGACCTGACTCCGCGCCCGCCACGCGACAGGACGTGGGGCAAGTTTTTTCCTTTCCCACTTCCCCCCTCCCCCTACCTCTCCCCAAAAGCGAAAGTTTGGTACCCAGAAAAAATACTAACCCGGTAAGAAAAAAAAAGTGGTTAAAAAGGGAAAGAGGGGGTCTGTGCCAGCCCAGCCTCAGCCCCCAGCGATGCTGACGACTGCGACCATGCCTTGTATGCAAGGTAGCTGCACAAAGAGAGAAGCAGGCGAAACAAAAGCAGCGACATCAAAAAAAAGGAATAACATGAACAGGTATCCTTGGTTTTTGCCTTGCTTCCAACTTTCCTGTTTTTACTTTTATTTTTTTCCCTTCGCGATCTCATCAGACGCAATGCAACCAAAAAAAGCGTCCGCCTTAGCTTTTGCCACTGGGGTAGGGAGGAAATGTAAGTGCAATGTAGGTGTAATGGTCCGTCTTCGGGGCTGAAGAGAAAAAACGGATGGTGTGGTGGGTGGCCATGTCCCCCCCTCCCCTCTCCCCCCTCCTCTCTCTTCCAAGGCTGACCTTGTTACCACGTTTTCCCTTCCTCATTCCCTGCTCCCTTCAAACAGGTGGGGGTTGCTTTTTTTGAAATCCTTGAATCCCTCGAAGGAATCGAGGATTGCGTTTCTCACACCCCCCCGCCTATTTGTAAGGATTGAGCGCATGCAACCATGCACTCACGTCCGTAATAACAGACTTTAACACACTCTACTATTTTCTAATCACCTTTGCTTTTTCTCCCAACCGTCCTGTCCACTTTCCCTGCATTCCCAAGTGTCATAGTTCAAAAAACTTTTCTCTCTTCGAAATCCCTTTCTTCTTTGCTTTTTTGCTCGCGTCCTTCCCATGGTCCTTGCAACCTTTCCCTTTGCTCGTTGCTCCGTTCCACGGAAGAAAAAAAAAATCCCCTTTGATTTCGGGGTTTTCCGCTGTCCCTGCACACGCACGCACCTTCCAATCCCTTTTTTCGTTCTTTTTCCCTTTTTTTCTTTCACTTACTCCCCGAACCGCGCAGGGTCACACGACATAAAAAAAAGAAGATCACGCGGGTTTGAACGGAGAAAGGGATCACAGTCGCGTCATGGAGTACCGGCTTATGGACCACAATGTCTCCTTTGTGTGACAACCGTTCCTATGTACATTGGCACGGAACTTGTGTTGACACACGACCAATTCCCTCTTTTCCCCTCTGGTCTCGTCCGTTCCTTTGGTCTCCCCCGCTCTAGCTTCTACTCCGTCCCGCTCTCGATCTTTCTCGCTTACTTACTCTACGCTTGTGTCTTTTACTTTTTCTATAAATGGGGCTTTTCTATGCGCCGAAGTTTAGGCGGGGGGAATGCAAGCGGAGCGAAGGACCGAGGAGCGAAGGACCGAGGAGCTGAGGGGTGGGGGGAAGCTGAGAAGAGAGGTGTGTAGAGGAGGAAAAGGGCGTATACGCAACACACACCTCCATATTGCATACGACACTAGACCTACATATAACCGGTAAGATGGATGTAAGTACTCGGCACTTTAAGCCGATCCTCTCGTTTTCTCCCTTTCTCCCCTCTCCTTCGCTTCTCGCTTCTCGCTTCTCGCGTCTCTTTTCTGTCTTTCTTGCTTTTTTCCCTCGTCTAATTTGTCTGCGTGTGTGCCCCCCGCTGCAATTTTCAATGATATCAGCGGTTGGAGAGAGAGGGTGTGTGTGCGTGCAAGGGTTCTTTTGGAGAGGGTGGAGGGTGTGCGGACATGACGCATGGGGCTGCGGGACTCTCCATTTGGGTATTGCGGGAGTGGGAGATCCAGACTCCAGGCTCGCGCGAGGGACGGGCTGCGGAGAAGGGGGAGAGGCGTGGTTGTGGAGGGGGGAAGCGTTGGCTGGGTGAGGCTGAGTGAGGCTGAGGAAGTATGGAGGTGCGAGATGTGGGGTGAGGGGATGAGTAGAAAGTAGGTTCAGCTTTGATTTTGGAAGTTGGTTAGGCACGTGATCGAGTTGTTCTCAGCAGTATGTTGGTATTACTACTCGTCAGTGTTGTGGAGTATTGGAGTTTGTAATAGCTGGACGATGCTACCATATACGTGGAAGCACTGATACACATTTCTACGAAAGAATTTCGACGCCATACCTCCGTCTAGATCCCATTCTCCCATTCTCCCCATCCTCCCTTGAAATGCGTATTTCTACCCTACCATATCCATCCAGCGACTTCATTGACGTTACACATAACCTAGGAGCATAGTACCACCAACCACCACTATCCATCTCCATATCAATGCCTATATTTTCAAAATCACCATGTAATCACTCTCCTCTCGAAACAAAGAAAAAAACTGCAATTGAAATGATTATGAGATTCAAACTCCCCCCCACTTCTTTGGAGATGCGGATACTACACTATTCATCTCCCCTATCGACAAAGTTAAATGAAGAAGAAGAAGAAGAAGAAGAGAAAATATCCTTTGCTCCACCGCAAAGCTTGAGAAATGAAATCTAGAATATACAAAGCCCACACCGATTCCATTTCCTATACTTCCCCCCTCCCCCCCCCCCCCCCCAAAAAAAAAATACCTGTATCCTACAACCCCTCCCCCTACCATACACCCGGCTCACACCCCCTTTTCCACCACCACCAAACCAGTTACACCGATAAATCTCCAAGCGGAGAAACGACACAGTATCCAACCCTCACCGCAAAGTGCATCCCCCAGACTTTTATGCTGGCGCATAGAGGCGAGTGAGCTTGGGGGAGGGGGGGTGATGGAAAATCCCTAGTATATACCACTTCTTCCTCTTCTTCCTCCCCGGCACCCTCTGCTGCACTATCCCCCATCTCCTCAGGTGGCGACGACGACGACGACGATGTCGTCCTCCCTCTCTTCCACCATACTTTCCTCAGCCTCCGCACTTCCCGAGAACCCGCCGGGTAGAAAATAACACAACGGAGCCGATGACGACGACGGCGACGACGCCGCCGCTGCATATAGAGTAATCGAATCCGGCGTCTCGCTCCTCGCATCTACCGGAAGCGGTAAGTCGTGCGTAGCCATGCGGCCACGCTTCTGTCTTTTGTTGGTGGATTCTTGCGCGAGAGGTGTATACGGTCTTGATGCTTGATCGACCCAGTAGAGTCGGCGTAGTGAGTGTTGGGGTTTTATGCTGCTGCGTGTGGATGGTGTGGGGGTATGGTGGGGGTTGGGTAGAGGAGTATGGTGGGCGTGTGGGGGTTGGGGGAGAGGTTTTTGGGGGCCTTTGCTGTAGGATTTTACTGCGGTGGCGAGGGCGGAGGGGGAGGGGGAGGTTGGGGTTGGGGTTGGGGTTGGGGCGAGGATGTGGGAGCTGCGCCAGGAGAGGAAGGGGTCGGTGGACGTGAAGGGGTTGCCGGGGAGTGTGTAGCGGGTGGGGTTGGTGTCGGCGTGGTGGTATTCGTTGTCGAGGGAGTTGTGGGGGGTGCGGGGGAGTGGGTTGGTTTTGTTTGAGGTGGATGGTAAGATAACAGTGTCTCTGGGTATGAGGGTTGAGGTCTCGTTGGGGCTGCTGTCACGGTCGGAATGGTCGGGGAATGGGTCGTATAGGTAGGCCATTTCTGGGTATGGGCCGGAGTCATCGCTGGAGTGTTTCAGTGCGTGATAGCGGCGGATGAGGAAGATTGCAGCGACGATTGCGAGGAGAACTCCGGCTGTGCTGCCGACTACTACGCCGGCAGTCTCAGATGGCTTCAGTGGGGGTGGAGCTGCTGCGGCTTCTGTCTCAGTGGGGCTACTTGTAGGAAGAATAGCTGTGCTTTGGTCCTTCATGGTTTCCCTAATACCGTCTGTTCCCGATATTGTGCTCGATGATGACTCAGAATCCTGTGTCTTCGTCTTCGTCACGAAGCTACTAAGTGTCACGGAGGTGGAGGGAACCGCTGGTCTGCTAATAGATGAAAGACGTGAACTAGATGTCCTGATCATGTACGAGCTACCAGTAGTACTTATACTGGAGCTACTTACAACCCTGGTTGGAAAGATTGATTTAGTAAAAGTGCGACTGGCTTGAGTGTTTCTCGAAATGGTGAAAGTTGAAGAACTGACTGGAAATGGCAAAAGAGCAATCGAGGAAGGGGCATCTATTTCTGGAGTAGTTGCTGGTTGCATCGAGGAGATAATGTTTGATGACAATTGTCCGGCTGATGTCTCTGGACCAGTTGAAGATGCTAAGGATTGAGTAGGTGTGGGTATCAGGAAAGTTTGTGTGAACAGTTCTGACGCAGACGAAGGCTGTAAACTCGTCCGCACCGTCTGGAGATATGTACTGCCTCTGGTTCTGCTCATGAGACTTCCTGTGCTAAAAACAAAGGTAGAGGAAACTTCTGATGAGGGAAGAGTGTTGTTTCCTGGAAACGGAATACTGGTTGGACTTGAGATATCCGAAACAATTGACCGAGTTGGTACGGCTGAGCTTGCAGTGGTCACAGTACCCGAGAAGTTGCCGTTCGAAAAGACTTTAGAAGGTAATGATGTGGCAGGTACTGTTGGTAGGGTAGAACTCGTCGGGGCAATGATTTGGGAGTTGGGCCTTGTGAAGACGAGAGATATCCAATCAATATTAACCACGCTTGCCTCGGAACTGGCAGCAGAAGGAAGAGACATGTTTGCAGTGTTGTGGGGTACCGTAGTTGGTGATGTAGAGAAATTTATCAAGGTCTCTGAAGAAGGCGAAGCTGTTTCTTGAGGAGTAGTGATGGTCGTCGCACTTGCTGTTGCTGTATCAAATGAGCTGCTTCCGTCGTTATTGGTATCGATTGTGGAAGACACTGGAGACAACCAGTTGGCCCAATCAGAGACTTCATGTAATGGAAGCTTTGTGGCACTACTCGAAGCGACAGGAAGAGTTGGATATGTACAGCTAGTTGTAACACTAGCGACTGTGAGATGTGCTTCTCTGCTCGAACTCGAACTATGAGAAAGGCTATCCCATACTATCTGGAATAGGTCGGTCTTGATTGTCGGCAAGTGGGTGCTTGACGATCGGATCTCAGATGAAGCCGAGGAGACGAATTTAGCTTGTGGTATAGGCGATGGAATTACGGTGGGTATTGAAGTGGTTGAAAGTGTGTTCGCTCTTGTGATGCTTTGTAATATCGTCCTTGAGCTATATGGTATAGATGAGGTTGAAGACGCATTGCTGCTTGTTCTAGATGGTATATTCGGTGTTGATTCTGAGGGTGAAGACGCAGAAGGGGATGTGTGTTCTTCGAAAATTGTTGTCGAAGACTCCGTCTGGGTTGATATAAACACAACGGAAGCAATGTGTGTTGCTGATGCGTGCGAAGTATCGCTCGACGTCTCCGATACCCTTGTAACATTATGAAAAGGCAGTCCTTGACGTGGTAATACTGAGAATCTTCTGTTTGCATTATTGGCAAATGATAATCCTCCATCTGTCAAGTAAGTAAGTATCAACCACTTCCACAGTCCACAGTCTACATCTCCATCACACTTACTTCGTCTATCCTCCATCGCCCCATTACTCCCCACACTCAACGACGCAATACAACCAGCGACCAAACCTTCTCTTAACCAACCCATCGCATATCCGCACTCAAATTCAACCCAAAAATATAAAACAACATAGACTGGGAAGAAAAAACCGCAAGGTAAATCACCCACATTGAACGCGATCGAATCGCATAACACAAAAACAAGAAATTTCGCGACAACCCATGAAACTGGACAACAAAGAAACTACATATGATTATTCACCCAACCCGAAGGTCGTTGGTTCCAAGGCCCCGATGGAGCGCCCTTTCGTTATTATTGGAGTACTTTGTTCCCGGGGGGCCGAAACAGGGTAAGCGTGGGGTTAAGGCCTTTGGGGCTGAGTCGCCCGTATACAACAAGTCCGAGAATAACACAGCGCCAACTACTAACATTAGCGCAGGATGCGGCTGTGGCTAAAAAGCGTGCATGAACGATTTTAGAGGCTTTGTTTCTGAAATCAGGATTGCGATAGATGTGTATTCGCGTTGAGGCATGCTCTTAGGGCTCAGTTAGTGAGATTACCTTGTAGGTACCTGGGGTCGTCTGCAGGTGGTTAGGCCAACTGCAAAGACCTCGATATTGTTTATTGAGTTGGCTGAATCAAGGTGATGCACGAGATACAAATTGCACCAGCCAGATTGAATCTCGCCTGCTAGAAACAAGCTTGAAGATCAACAAAAGAGATAGAACGCAGTGATGAGATGCATACGAACTCTCGAGATCGTGGTCTAGCATTCCTGTTTAAACATATTCTCTTCTCAATGACATGCCCAGCCCAATGCGTCTGTGTCTGCTGCACCCGCTGGGTACCGTCCAACTCTATTCCTGTCGGACCCAAAAGACTTCTAATGCACCTACCCTTTCCCTGTTGAGCCACTGCCAGTAACAATGTAGGCCTGGCTATCACGGATGCCCTCTTGTAGCCAAGTAGGTAGAGCGCGAAGTGTGGACACGAATGGTGGACCAAGACGTATCTGCCCGCTCTTTGCGGCGACGATCTGCTTGACCATGGTGTCGGCGACATCATCTGCTTCCCATAGCCGGCCACCCTGTTTCTCCAGTCCGCGTGCAATGGACGAGTGCGCTGTTATGGCTGACTTTGTCCAATGGGGGTGGATGACGGAAGTCAGGATTTCAGGGCAGTTGTACCGATGCTTCAACTCTAGCGTAAGTCCCTCGTGGAATGCTAGGATGGCGGCTTTGGCACAACTGTAATCGACAGCACCAGCTACTGTGGCAAAGGAAGCGAGACTTGCGACGGTCATTATGTGACCTTTCTTCTTCTTAAGCATGTCTGGCAGAAATTCTTGCACAGTGATCCAATGGCTCATTACGTTGATGTTGAACATGCTCTGAAGGCGGGCATAGGGGATGTCGAGAATAGGCCATGCGTTCCCGATGCCGGCATTGTTGACTAGAATGGATGGATGACCAAAGTCAGAGCGTAGAGCCTCCGCAGCCTGGCGTATGTCGTCTTGCGAAGTGACGTCACACCTGTAAAACCGAATAAGAGCAAGCTCATCTGATTCCTTATTAGCAAGGGGAGATGTTGGATCTGTGCTGCGACTAACCTTTAGTAAAGACATCTGACAGGGGGCTAACGTCCAGGACTGCAACCCTGGTACCATGGGAAACGAGCTTCTTCACAACATAGGCGCCAATGCCTGCTGAGCCTCCAGTCACAACAGCTACCTCACTCTTCCAGTCCCAGACGCTTTTGTCGGTGAAAAAACGCCATCGCCTGTCGGCCCAGCGGTTTAATGTCCAGTTTGCTTCGAAAAGAGCCCACACGGAGAGCACCCACTTGAGAAACCAGTGAAGGGTTGCGGCAAGGGTACTAGAAAGACCGAGCTTACTGCCGACATCTGACCACAGTTGGTTGTTTGTATGGAGCGTAGCCGCCCCCAGGGCTAGCAAGACACACTGGATCATGGTGGGGGCGGGGCGGATATGCTGTTGGCGAAAGAGGTGGAGTCCGGAGTTTGCAGCAATTGCGCAAGTCCTGATACTTCAAGCCAGGCACTGATTCAATGGCAAATAAGAGGAGATGTGTTGCAGTTTTGAACACGTAGAGAAAAGAAATTATACTGCGAATCCGCTTGTATGTACCCCTAGGTAGTTGTGGATACGAAGATGTCGGGGTCCGTGGGTCTATTTCCGAACCAGGTATTGTAATAAGCCACTCACAGATAGATCATATCCCTTAGAGACAGGTATTCAACCGTCGCGTAAAGGCCAGGGTAGGCAATGAAGCCGTAGCGTTCAAGTCACAGGAACGTCGAGACAAGATGAAGAAGATGCCAAGGATTTAATTGCGCGCAAGCGTCGTCGATCACCGGGCCGCGATTGGCTAGCTCGGCGGCGAGATGATGTACGTACTTGAGAAATCTACGGCATAAGATATCACAAAGCATTTACGCCCCCAATTGTGCTCTCGACGCATGTCTTTCGCTCGACCCAGCTGCTTGAGCGGTACGCTGACGCCGTTTCTATACCCCGCCGTGTCCCAGGCGCAACTTGGCCTACTTGCACGCAGATGGCTGCTTCGCAAACCACGCCTGCCGCAGCGAAGATGCAACTCAACATCTGATACTTCTCGACTGGACCCCACACCCGACGACTACTCACTCACGCCTTTTGCTGACCGCTGCATCCTCACAGTCGAGGCTGGTGGGGGCGGGCACGGATGTGTATCCTTTCTGCGCGAAAAGTACATTGAAGAAGGGCCTGCCAACGGCGGCGATGGCGGCAGCGGAGGCAATGTGTACATTCAAGCTGTTCGCGGCGAGACGTCCCTGCATAAGCTGGCCCGGCGACGGTTAATCAAGGCTGGAAGAGGGCGCAATGGCCAGGGCAAAGTCAAGGGCGGCGAGCGGGGCACAGACATTCTGATTACTGTCCCTGTAGGAACCATTGTGCGCGAGCTGCAGAGACATGACCCTGTTGCTATCATGGAGGAAGAGCATTGGAAGATGGAGCAGAACCCCGAAGAGGAAGAGTTTGAACAGGGCGAGCCTAGCTATAGGAGAGATAGGTGGCTTGTATATCCTGGAACCATGGCCTCGGAGTTGAGCAGGATCAAGTTTCCCAAGCTCCCTCCGCCACGTAGATCTCACCTTGCCGCTCTCGAACCCGAGGCGCCTTTGTGGTTGGATTTAGACAAGCACATGGAGACGCCAATGTTGATAGCAGCAGGCGCCATGGGTGGCTTGGGCAACCCGCACTTTATGACGCCCTTCAACTCGCGCCCTAAGATGGCCACGCGAGGTGACGAAGGCTTGAAGTTGTCCCTCCAGCTCGAACTTAAGATCCTCGCCGATCTAGGTCTCGTGGGTCTGCCCAATGCAGGCAAGAGCACACTGTTGCGCTCTTTGAGCAATAGCCGTGCACGAGTTGGTAACTGGGCCTTTACAACCCTCCAACCAAACGTCGGTACAGTTGTGCTGGACAACCACAAGGGCCGTCCACTCGTCAAGTCACGCAGGCCAGATGGCCAACTTCGAGAAAATTTCACTATTGCCGATGTGCCCGGGCTTATCGAGGACGCCCACCTAGACAAAGGACTTGGACTGGGCTTCCTACGCCACATTGAACGCGCCGCAGTCCTCGCCTTTGTCATCGACCTCTCCGCCGGCGACGCAGTCCAAGCACTGCAGCTCCTCTGGCGTGAAGTCTCCGAATACGAGACCCTCCGCGGCAAGGAGCTCAATGCAGAGACAGAACGCAGAATGGTCACTTACATGCCTGCCGGTAGCAGCAGCAGCCCCCCTCCCAGCGATACCTCCGACCTCATCGACTCGTCACAGCTGGACCCATCTCCGAAGCCGCTCCCGTTCATCACTACGACTCCCATATCCTCCAAGCCGTGGTTCGTTGTCGCAACAAAGGCGGATTTGCCAGATACGCAGTCGAATTTTGAGTCGCTTCTTCAGTATTTGAATGGAGTGACCAAGGGGACCTTGCCGCACCCGAGTCATCGCCAGCATGCGTGGAAGCGTAATGTCCAGGCTGTGCCAATTAGTGCGATCAAAGGAGAGGGCGTACAGGTTATTCCGCAATTAGTTATGGATTTGTTGGATGAGTAGATGTATTGAATGATACCCTTTTCTCCTCTCAATCTTTTGTGAAGTGATTATTGCTAGTGTTATTCTTGTCGTCCATGTATGAAATTGCTGTAGCCTACCCGGATTCGACGGTGCATATCGTATCGCATTGCTAGAGAGATGCAAGGGCAACTGTTCATTTGGAAGACTCACATCAAGACAGTGTTCATACGAGAAAGAGACTTTGAAAAAGTATCATGAAAATCGGAAGTGCAGACTCAGAAGTATTAATAACTCTCTATATTCAAACATTGTAGAACAAATACAAATACACTAGCCTTCAGGAGGGGTTCTCCTCAGCTGGAAACGGGGTGTTGACTTCTGACCTAACCAGAACATCCATCTCTCATACAGTTTTCCCAGCCCCGATTCTCCAGTGTGCTATCGCGCTCGTTGGGAGGAGCCATCATCACTCTCTCCCTGCTCGACAATCTTCATCTATGTTAGTGCGGTCCCGAGTATCACCCGGGGATACCGGGGAAGGACCGCACCGGAGAAGAATGATCATACTGGAAAGTACCATGGTTCCGTTGAGGAGAAAACCAATGCTGGGCTTGCTGGAACTGAGGGTGGTTCGATGAGGGTGCCCTTTGCCATGTCGTCGGAGGTAGAGTCGAAGCCGCCGCTATATCACCCCGGCGTGATTGGAGACTGAACTTGGGAGGTTGTTCAGGGATTGAAAGAAGTTCTGATATCACCCGAAGATCTCGGGGAAGGAATGGGAATGGGAATGATATGGGTGACTGAGGCGTCGCACATCTCCTAGTGGAATCCATTCACGCCATCACCCGGGGACAGCTGGAATGAGTCAAGAGTGACAAAGCAAACCGGTTGGACGCACCCAGACCCTCGTCGCTTGGGTCGTTGTCGTCGTAGTCGTCACATCACCCGGGGATGGCGGCTGGGATTCCAGAACTCCTGTACATCACCTGGCGAACCAGGGAAGAGTTTGGAATACATCTGTTGCGGATGTTAGAACGGTATTGGAATAGGGAGTGGGGGAAGTCGTACTATACGCTTGTAGCCATGAATTGCAAGTCATATGCGACGAGAGGTTTCTAGGCTGCCGAGATGCTCGAAGTGGACATGTCGCGGGATGGCAAGGAAGAGATCAGAGGTGATCTGAGAGATACCCCCTTATGGTTCAGGGGTAGATGAGAATGATGTGGGTGCCCGGAATCTCCCAAAGTCCTGTATATCACCTGGAGTACCAGGGAAGGATGATGTGGTCGAGCAGGCGAGAGCTGTCACGCAGCGCCATGATATGGGAGTGAACGGTGTGATGGTACCTCAGAAGACTTCCAAACCAACATATATCACCCGGATGTACCGGGGAAGAGTCTCGGCAGTGGTTGAAGAAGCCGATGTATCCTTTGTATTACCCAGAGGTAAAAAGGAAGGATTCGATCTACCTTCTTCAGAAACACCCCCAGAATTCCTGTATATCACCCGGATAGACCGGGGAAAGACTCCAACGAGTGGTACATAGAGCCGTGATGGAGGATTGCCTGCAGGAGACACCTCCCAACTCCTATATATCACCTGGATGTACCAGGGAAGAGTCTGGAAGGGTTTCTATAAAGCACGTTAGATCATTGTTGTGGAAAGCTGGATTGGGTAACTCTTACGCTATCACGAGCTCCCCTGATCAATCAACCGAAGAAGAAGAGAAATTAGTGGAGAGAGAGGATTCCGCGGACCAATCCGCCCCTGTGAGGTAGTAATATTGCACTAAGTAGAGAATGAATGTTGAGTTAGATGAGGAAAGAGGGTGGTAGGTGGGTGGGGGCGGGGGATTATATAGAGTGTGGGGAGCGCCAAGGAGGCGAGGGAGTGAAGGAGTCACGTGATTACGTCAACCAGGGATTGAAGGAGTGGTGTGGGCACGATTGGTCCTAGTGGTAGTTGCCTTGGGTTATCTAGGCCCACGTGGGGGGTCAAATGGCTTGCGAGGCTGGATTTTATTGGGCTTCAAGGTTACAAAAGGTCTTAGGACTTATATATCTCTCACTTTCGTTTGTTATATCCGGGTATCAGCGGCGATTACCAATGGGATTATCTCTGTAGATCTCCTCAGAAGCGTATGTTATTCACTGGGAGTTTGTCTATGAAACACTGACATCATGGTTGAGTGAGCAATGGCCCAGTCATTTGTTTGAGATATAGGTGTAAACAAAACCACAAGGCCAAATGGCCAAGAATCATACAAGATTTCTTCCTACGTACTTGTCCAGCCCACCCAAGGTATATCCATAATCTATTCATAATCTAAACCAAAAAACATCAACAAACACCCTCCAACCCATCTCACACCTTACGCCACCAATTCCACAGTCCTAACACTCACTCCCTCCGCCTTTCCTCCAACTTGCTCCTCACCCACCCTCTCCCCCAAGCTTTCCACATAATCCCTAACAATCCGATCAAACCCCTCATCCCTCTGAAACCCAAGGTCCAAAGCCTTCTTATTATCAAACTCCGCAGGCCACGACTCCAAAATCCTCTTCAACCCCTCTTCCTCTCTCATCTCAAGCAGCGCTAACTTATCTTTCCCGCCCACTCTCTCCAGTGAATCCATCATATCCTGAATCGAGACACCAATTCCCGGAAAATTTAGCACGCGGTCAAATGTAGCAAGGCGAGTGGTGTCGAACTGTGTAGCGGCGTAGACGAGATTCTGGACTAGGACTCGTGGTGAACAGAGCCAGTGACGCCATTGCTTGTCGGATAGTGGGATAACGCATTTGATACCGTTCATGGGCTCGCGGATCATACCGCTGATGAAGGAACTCGCTGCTGCGGTGGGTTTACCGGGACGCACGCACACAGTGGGAAAACGCAGCGAGATTCCGTCTATGAAGCCGCGGCGCGTGTACTCTGTGATAAGGTACTCGCACATCATTTTCTCGGCGCCGTAGCTGGTCTCTGGGGTTGGGAGCTGCGACTCTGTAACCGGTAATGTGACAGAGTTGTTATACACGGCTTGACTTGAGGCGTAGATTACGCGGGCACCTGGACTGGTTTTGCGGATGGCTTCGAGTAGAGCGCGGGTGGCGTCGAAATTGGCGCGCATACCTAAATCGAAGTCGGCTTCTGCGCCGGAGGACATGATACCATGGAAGATGAAGATGGCGTCTATATCTGAAGTTACGACAGACGAGGATTCGGTGCATAGATCTGCGCGGATGGCTTGGACATTGTTGGATGGTTGAGTGGATTTTGGGACGGGAGGTTCGATGATATCAGTGAGAACGAGTGAGTGAGCGGCATTTTTGTCTTCGAGTAGCTTTTTTGCTACGAGTTGGCCGATGAAGCCGGCGGCTCCGGTGATAAGTATACGCATTTTTCTTGGAGTTTGAATTGCAATTATGGAAACATTGTGTAGATTGTGTAGATACTAAACTGCTCATATACATGAAAAGAGGGCGGTACTTTCGGCCGACGTTTGGCCCAGAACTCATCTACGGGCCGTGAACCAATCTGATACTGATCTCAATTTAGTAGCTTGTTCGGTGCATCTCACCCCGTCTGCATGCTCATAGGGTCGGGTCTTTTGCTGGAGGAAGGGATGAGGGTTCCTCACGGCCAACATACCGTCGGAGTTTCGCCGAATCCGCTTCCCCGCATGGAGACGCCGGCAGATCAGCATGCGCGAAACCTTCCTCGTAAACCTAAGATCGACCGTCACAGCCACAGACATAGTCGGTCTTACCAAACTCTGAGTATTTTTTTACCAGATTTGAGTGATTTCTTCATTATGCCCGAGATCGGTGTAAGTATTGCACCCATTCGCCGTACTTTAAGGTCGGCGATTACAAACATCGCTCGACCTGCATGTCACTGTATCTTATGATTGGACTTTGTGGAAGATTTGAATTATATAGGACAATAACAGACATACCCAATCATGAAATTCTTAGCTATCTTTGGCCCAAGGCGTGCTGACGTCCTTCTTAAACTTCGCATCCAAACCCGCCGCCTTCAAAATTGCGAACCTCACATGATCAATACCCAGTCTCTTACCATCAACCAGTGTCTCCGCACTCACGCCCAGAATCTCGCCCAATGCACCTCCTCCAACCGGGGGCTGAATCTCATTCTTCAGCTCCTCCATAGCTCTTCTAAGATCCTCGGGCGTGCCTTTTGGGGCCAGGCGACGGGCGGACTTGCCATCAAAGCGCTTGATATCTTTGGCATTGGGAATATAGAGCTTGTCTAGTTTAGAAAAGATGACTTGATGGCTCACACCGGCCAGACGTAGGGAAGCCAGCAGTGAGCGGTCTTTGTCTTTGATACCGTGTTCGGCGTCGAGTAAGACGAAAACGCGCCGAAGTTGCTTGCGATTGCTTATGTACTTCATGATTTCCACGCCCCAGGAGGAAAGTGAACCCTCGCCGTACCCGGGCATGTCGACGATAGTCAGACCACCGATGCCGACAATTTTGTCACGTCCATTGGGCTGCTTTTTGATAGTTACGCCGTTTCCGGCGCCCAGACCGTAGAGGTTCATTGTCTTAGTGAAACCTGGAGTCGATGATGTACGCGCTAACAGCGCCTTTATATCTGCGTTCACAACGGCATTGAGCAATGAGCTTTTACCAACATTGGAACGGCCCACAAAGGCTACCTCGGGTACATCTGACTCTGGGAACAGGCGGAATTGCGCTACGCTTCGAAGTAACTTTGCGTTTTTGCTGTTGTTTGTGAAGAAGTGGTTTGCCTGTGTCTTTTGCGCAATGGTCGGTGGGAATGACTCCCAGTACCAATGGAAGTCTTCTAGCTTGCTGAAATGAAGTTTGACATGGCTGGAGGGGAGTTCGGGCTTTATGGATGGGAGAATGGGCTCGGCTTTGCGCCTCGAGCCGAGTGGCGGCGAGGGTGCGGATGGTTGAAGGTCTTCTACGACTTCTTTTGCCTTTTCTTTCCGTGAACGTCGTGGCATGTCACCTCTGAGCTTTGAAGATGACTCCGGATATTTTTGTGATGATTTTGAGCCACCGGCTTTAAAGTCTTGTGGTGCTGCAGGCTCAGGAGACACAACTTCTTTTCCTACGGTCTGTAGCTCCGTATCTTCCAACTGGTCCTGTAATTTTCGCCTCACTCGCTCTGGAAGGTGATCTGAATTAACACGTATGGCCGATGATCTCAGAGTTCCTTCTCTTCTTCGTTGTCGTCTTTCTCTCATCGAAAGTGGCCGTGATTCCTCGAGAAAGGGATCACCCCCGGTCGCAGATGAGAGTTGTTTTTCAGTCAACTCCAGCCGGTAGCTACCTTTAGTCTTGCTCATATGCAGTATACTCCGCGTCGGCGGCTCATCCCTATATCTAGATTTGACATCTCCACTCCAGTGTTTTTGAAGTCGCAACCTTGGGTTCAGCGCATCCTGTGGAAAAGCACTGGTCGATTGCGCCCGTAGCTGTGATCGGGTAAGAAGTCCAGAACCCCGGCAAGAAATGTTCTGTATGCAACTACTACATACGTAGCCGGGCCTCAGCGAAAGACCACTCATCGTGTGCAGTCTCCAAGAGTTCTCTACCACCCCATCCGAAATCCAAAGTCCACACCTGGTCCAAGCTCACCCGCAACTTTTCGCCGCAGCACCTCCGCGGCGAACATCAGCCTCCAATATCGCCCGCAACCACAACCAGAACCCGATATTTCCCCTGGTTGCATATCCTAGCCTCACTCAATCATTTGATCGAAACCTGTACTCCCACAATGGCGCAACCAGCCCCCACTCAAATACGCTCCCTCTACCGCCGTCTCCTCCGCGAACTCCCCTCCACCCCTCAAACAAGCCGGACCCAGCACCAAAAGCTGTCTGCGCCCTCTGTCCTCCAAAAAACCATACGGTCAGCTATCGCAACACCGAAATCTAGCTCAAGCACACACGTCCAGGTGCAACAGGCAGAGCAATTCGTACAATACGTGCAGGCGCAACGGTCATATGCGTCGTTGCTGGAGCGCTACAATCCTGGTATGGGCATGACGGAGGAAGAGAGGGTACGATTGAGTGCGAGGAGAGTGGGTATGAATCTTCCGGTAGAATTTGGGCAGGAAGGGGAGAAGGCTTGAGGGATAGAGTGGGGAGAGGGGTTGGATGGGATATTTGTACTATCAGACGGGAAGGATTAGGAATTCCTAGGGATTGGTGATAGAGATGATGACGGGGGCTCTACAAACAGGATTATACGGGGTACAGTCAGATTATTGTGAAGTTCGAAGCGTCTGAATACTATCACCCGGGGCACGGATTCAAGGTCACATGTGGAGAATGAAGGATATGTGGTCGTGTAGACTGAATGTAGAATATATAGACATCTGTTGATCCAGCCAGACTGATTTAACAGTCTGTCAACTGCTCAAAATCTAATATAAGGTACTGCCATCAAAGGGTATGTTGCTTTTTGATGTACATGATAACTCCAGTTCGCCGAAATCGTACGCGCCAATGATCCGTCATTTTTCCATGCGATGTCGAAGGTTCAAGATCGCGCCTCTGCTGTGTCCCCTCGCCCAGGCGTACGCGCACAAATATTGCTCCTAATATTTCCAATAGCTGCGCGTGCGTGGTGTAGTTGAGATGGCAGGGACTGTGAAATCCGGGTCAAATCCTCAAGTCCAACCAGCCATTTAATCCTCGAACTTAATACCCTTGCCTCCAGAGGTATCAATCATACCACCTCTGTAGGAGCCCCTCTTTCCCTTGTTCTTCTCCTTGGTGAATCCCTTGCCCTTTGTGACAATCAGCTTGGCATGAGCGCGGTCGGCATAGTCGTATGAAACATATGCATTGCTCGCGAGCCTAGGATCAACCTTTGTGTCGGGTTTGATGCGCTGGAATCGGTTTTCGACATGGCTTCGCTTTGACTTCGGGGCCTCTGCAGAAGGAGAGCCAGCCTTGCGCTTGTTACCAGCGGGCGCAGGCGATGCTGCGGGAAGGGTGTGGGAAGAATCGCTGGCGGAACCCTTGCGCTCGGACGCAGTAGATTTGGACTCTTTTTCTGATTCGGAATCAGAGCTGTCAGAAGAGCTCGAATCACTGTCGGAGGAGCTCGAATCACTGTCGGAAGAAGGCGTGGCTGCTTTCTTTCCAGTCTTCTTAGCCTTCGTCTTGGTGGGCTTTGTGTCGGCTTCACTTTCAGAGTCGCTGGAGTCGCTGGAATCGCTGGAATCGCTAGAGTCACTGGAGTCCGAAGCGCTAGAAGCAGACGAGGATGATACTGAAGCAGCCTTCTTGTTTGTCTTCTTCTCAGCTTCTGACTCGGAGCTGCTATCAGAGTCGCTATCAGAGTCGCTGTCGCTGTCGGAGTCGCTGTCCGATGAATCGCTTGATGCGGCCGAGGAATCGGAGTCGGGCAGAGGAACGTTTGCAGGTTCGTCGTCGTCGCTGCTATCCGAATCGCTAGAGTCACTGGAGTCGCTGGAGTCGCTGGATGAAGAGGCAGAAGATGATGAGACGGACTTGGCCTTCTTTGCTTTGGGCTTGACGGGGGCGCTTTCCTTTTCCGATTCGGAGTCGGAAGAGTCTGAGCTCGAATCCGAACTCGACGAGCTCGAGTCATCCTTCTTTACAGGCGCCTTCTTCGCCTTCTGGGACTTCTTCTCAGCCTCGGACTCACTGCTGGAGTCGCTGTCCGAGTCGCTATCGGAGTCGCTGCTGGAAGCACTTTCCTCGTCAACGTCCATGGGCTCGGACGCGTCTGGGGAATTGGTTGCGCCTCCGCTCTTCTGCCACTTCTCAAACTCATTGAGCTTGCTAGCAGCGCCTTTTTCACCCTGCTGCTCGAGGAACTTCCTGACAAGGTCAAGAGGTACTTCAGCGGCTGTTGTTGTCGATGCGGCTACTGCAGACGTCTTCTTCTGCTTCTTGTCCGAGCTGGACTTCTTGGCGAGTTTTTTGTCGGCAGCCATGATGGGCAATGGGGACCCTGTATCGCGTAGTGGTGACGGGGATGGATTGTGGAGGATCGAAAGGTTGCAAGTCGCGCGCGAGAAAAAAGTTACGGCGGGCGGAATGCACCTTGCATGGCGCTAGTCCGCAAGCGTGATCCCAGTCCCGCGCGCCTGCCGTCTCATACGGGAGTACACGACGCCAAACGTCGCCCACCTGCGCAGGGTGGTATTTGGGCCTTTCACTCGCCGTCTTTGCGATCCCCACTTGCACACATCCGACCCAGTTCCAGCGGATACGGCCAAGACGTGCATCTCATATTGCTGCCCAATCCCATTGCTCACGGAGGACCGACCAGCCAACAAACCAACCAGCTCAGCATCGCAAGGACCACCACTACCACGATTCACCATTGATGGCATTACCACGAAGAACCCTCGCTACCGCTGGGCGAAAGTAATCAGCACATCATCCGCTCAGACTTGGTACCTTTTAGGGCGTAACTACCAACACCTCAGTCAAGATGGACGGGAGGCCACGCAACTATACCAACGGAGGCGGGGACCCTCGAGCTCCCCCAATGCGTCCGCCCACCGGGGGCTCGAGGGGAGCCCCCTCTGCCTCTAGCTCAAGCTCTACACCCTCCGGCATGTCGCGCGCCGAGCGGTTTGACGACGAGCGACGTCGGATTACTGAGAGCTGCTTCTCCAAGTTGGACGAGCAGGGACAGCGTACGTGTTCCTGGACACCACCACAGATACAGTTGGCATACATGTCTAGGTCTTGCCTATCTTGCTGGTTCCTAGACTTGATCTGAGTTATGCTGACATGTTCCAGTCCAGGAATCCTACATTACTCACATTCGTGTCCAGGAAGATGGCGCATATCCGCAGGCTCCCCCTCCGCCAAACTCACCACCTTCAAATAAGAAGGCGAGAATCATCATGATATCCGTGCGCAATACAGGCAGAGTCAAGCTGCATAAGGCTAGGGAGAACGCCAACGGTACCTTTTCTATTGGAAAGTCTTGGCCAATGGAAGAGCTGTCTGCAGTTGAGAACTACGTTCACCTCAACCCTGCTAGCGAGGAAGAGGCGCAACGCAAGCAGTGGGCCGGAGATAAAGGTTTCACTGTGACCATCACCAAGCCATACTACTGGGAAGCTGGGACTGCGAAAGAGAAGGAGTTTTTCATAGGAAGTATGGTCAAGATCTACAATAAGTATACTAAGGGTGACTTTCCCATCTTGACAGGATTCAGCGCTTCTGAACTTAACAGCCTTACGAATGGACAACCGCATCTCGCTACACCGGAGGGCCGGGCCGCAACAGCAGCAGGTAGTCCAGCAGGCGGTAGCCCGGGGCCACAGCGACCGGGACCATTGGAGCAGAGACCTATGCCTCCAAAAGCAGGCGGACCTCCCCCAAGAAGACCTGGAGAAATGCCGCCACCCGGATCAAATCCCAATTTCAGGAGACCGCCAGGAGAATTCCAGGGCCCGAGAAGGCCAGGTCGGCCAGACGACGATAGACCAAATACAGGCGACGACGCTCGCAGGCGTCCACCGTTTCTGCCAAATCAGATGCAAGCTGCTCCATCCATGCCAAATCTGAGGCAGAAGCAACCCATGGATCCGACCATTCGAGCGCGACCCAGCGGGGATAGTATGCGACCCCGCCCCAGTCCTGGCCCTGGCCCTGGCTCATCAAGTTTCATGCCACCAACATCACCTCTTGCGCCGCGAAATCTGACACCGCAGTCTTCAACTTCAGAATTTGCCAGTCGACCGAAAACACCGGAATCCGCGAAATACCAGACAAATCCTAGCCCCGGACGCGGACCGCCCTTTGAAGATGGCCCGCCTCAACGACCGGAGAGATCGTTTGACGAGCGATCAATAGACGGCGCAGCGCTAGGTATCTCAACACCAGACACGCGCAGACCTAAAGACTATGCTTCGCCCCGGAGAGATCCCTCTCCTAGAGGTCTGAGACCCGGTACAGCCCAGAGTGGTGCTCGGCCAGGTACTTCTCAAAGCAACGCCAGTTCAAACTTCAACCGACATGATGACATGCCTCCAGACGAACCTCCACAGCGGAGAAGACCTACAATGGAGACGCGTCCGTCTCAGCTATCGCAGCGCAGCTTCGACAGCCAAGGCACAGACTCACGTTCAGCCTTCCATACCCCTTCGGCATCCCCCGCTCCGCCGATGGAAGTACCGCCTCGAAGACGACCCCAAGAGACGCCAGAGCGGTTAAAGCCATCTTCTCAAGAAAGCATTGCACGCTCAGACCCTGCAGTATCTAGATCACAGCCCACTCCACCACCCACTTCCCCGTTACCACGGATACCAACGGCTCCTATGCCACAAGCGCCCCCACAAGAGGAGGTAGCAGCCTCTCCTGTACAAGCTCAACCAGTGCGAACGGAACCTGCTCCTGAACCCGAGCCCCAAGCTGCACCCGCTGAAAACACCAGCAGCCCAACAGACGAGCAAGAGACCGAGGCATCACCGCGTCCTGGTCTTGGTCCAATGGTAAAGAAACCATTGGCTGCCGACAATGCGGCAAACAAATTCCGGAAAGCCGCGGCAGCAGCAGGAGCTTTCAAGCCTCGTGCTGGCGGTGCCGCAGCAAAACTCTTCAACAAAGACACAAAGACATCTGATGAGCCTGATGGTGTCAGTGCAGTGTTCGTACCTCAACGGCCGGCCCCAAAAGAGACACCAAAAGAGGAGCCAGAAGAAGAAAAGAAGCCAGAGGAGGCACCTCCACCTGTGCCAGATCGATCATCCAAGGAGCGACCACGTATCAGCACCGAGGTTGTGCCATCAGTCACTGTGTCTGGTCCGTTGGCGCCAGCTTTGCCCGAGGTTAAGCAAGAGGTAGAAGAGGAAGCCCCTCCACCAGCTCCAGAAAAGGCAGCGGCAAGAAATACCGAGACGGAGCCCGAAGTGCGACGCAAGAAGCGTAGGTCCAATCAGCAGATTGTGAACATCTCGAAGCTTGGCATTGACCCCAGCATCCTTGATGAACGCGGTCTTGAGTTCGATAATCTACTATCAGAGCTAGGCTGGGGCAGTCATGAGCTTTCGCATAAGCACATTGAATCCCTCGAAGCTGATATCAAACGTGAGATTGCTCGTGTCGAAGCAGGGAGCTGGCTCAACCATCTAGAGCAAAAAGATGACCGAGTGGAAGCTGTTGAACGTATGCTGGATCGCGCCATTGCTGAATGCGACGAACTTGAAGGCCTGTTGACCTTGTATAACGTTGAACTGAGTAGCTTGAACGACGACATTGCCTTCATCGAAGCACAAAGTCAGGGTCTGCAAGTCCAGACGGCCAACCAGCGTTTGCTGCAGCAAGAACTTCGACAACTCGTCGATACCATCTCAATCACATCTGACCAACTAGAGCCTTTGAGACGTGCTCCAATAGGAAAGATCAGTGGCCTCAAAGACATTGAATCTTCCTTGGTTCTTCTATACAAAGCGCTGGTTACGATTGATCCGTCTTTTGTGGCAGGGAGCCGAGCCGGTGCTAACGATGCCCTCAACACGTTGAACGGAAGATCAGGCATAGGCAACAGCGATTTGGCAACAATGCAGGCTCTGCAAGAAAAGCGAGATAGGTACCTTGGCGAGGGAACCATGTTCCTTGAGCGACTCAAGAAGCACATGGACATTACTTTTGGTGCGGCTTTTCTGTCAACAAAAGACGCTCTTTCGAATCTTGACCAGGGATCCATGCCGTCTTTGAGGAAGAACATTGAGGCACACGATACTGGTCGAAGCGAGCTGTGGATGTTAAGTCCGGTAATGCTCTTCGCCAAGGAAATTGACAGGGCTTCCTGGGACATGCTTCTCCGAATGTACCAGACCCAAGCAGCGCAATTGTATCGACAGGAAGTTCGCGACAACATTCTAGCTTGGAGGAAGTTTGCTCGGAAGCCCAGTGGTGAGGAGCAAGAACTGCTTTTTACCGCACAAGAAAAGGAGCCAGAGAGTATCACGGGGACTGCCAGGAAGCTGACTGTCAAGCGGAGTCAGACCTTGGCTCGTGGCTTACGAGCGGCCTCTGGGGACAAAGAGGGTAAAGAGAGCAAGGCAAAGCCAGCAACTCAAGATGGCAAGCTGCATGCATACGATGTCTTTGCCAGGGTTCTAGAAGACACAGGCCCTGTGCTACTGACGGAGCAAAACTTCATCACAGAATTCTTTCACGCTACGTCGACTCACTCGCTCGATTTCCCTGACGCGGTTCAGGCAGCACCTCCAGAGAATCGCCGAGGACCTAACCTTTGGATCAGAAAGCAATTCGAGCCAGACAGGGCCATGGCGAAGCATCTTACTGGAGTCATGGAGGAGATTTTCTCGTTCTGGCCTGCGGAGATTGCCAGTCTCGTGGACTGGGCCACGAAAGCCGATCCTCTGTAAGTCTTATTTTCACAGTACATGGTCATGATACTAACTGTTCATAGGCAAGGTGTGGGCATTCTATGTGCCGTCGATCGAAAGTTGCTCGATATTGAGGAAACAAACCAAGACTTTTTGACCAGGAACTTACAAAAGATTCATGAGCGTCTGCAGGGACTTTTCAGCCGATTCGTGGACGAGCAAATACGGGCAATTGAAGACACCAAAGTCAAGATCAAGAAACGCAAGGGTGTCATATCCTTCATGAAGACATTTCCCCATTTTTCTGTCGCCATCGAAAACATGCTACCGTCTTCAGCTGAGGGGGGCGACCAACTGGAGATTCGTCGCATGGTCAACGACGGGTATCAGAGAATCAACAAGGCCATGTTTGAGAGTTTGAAGGTTATTGCGAAGGAGTCTCCTACCGTCATGGCTTCGCAAGGACAGGGCGACCCCGAAGACAAGGAGGCACTGAACTACCACATTCTGCTTATCGAAAACATGAACCACTACATGGAGGAGGTGGATGCACGTTCCGTTTCCGTGCTGGAATACTGGAAAGGCAAGGCGCAGGACGAGTATGATGAGCACATGGGTCTTTATGTTGATGCCGTTATCCGGCGGCCGTTGGGTAAACTTTTGGTAAGTGCACATGCAAGGCTAGGTTTTGGGGTTAGTCTAATTGTGCCCAGGAATTTATGGAGTCCACCGAAACGCTTCTCAGCCAGCCAGGTGCAAGCGCTCAAGCCATTTCGCAGCGCTCTTCGCACTCTCGCTCCGTGCTCAAGAAGCTGGTGCACTCGCACGATGCTAAGGAGCTGCGAAAAGGCATCGAGTCGCTCAAGAAGCGAGTGGACAAGCACTTTGGTGACGCAGACGATCCATCGATTAGTCGCGATCTCGTATTCAAGGTGCTCAAGGAATGCGAGAAGACGTACATGAATGTGTCGGAGCGGATGATGACGATCAATCAGGATGTATATAGTGGCGAGGTGGAAATTGATTGGGGCAGCAGGGAGATTGACGCAGCGTTCAAGAGATAGTGTCTTCGGAAGAGCGGAAGTCTGCATTTGCGAGGGCTTGGGCTGTGACGTTGCGCCGGTGTGTTGTTATGGAGGTCGTGTATATTGCCGGATTTAAAAGCGTTAACGAAGACTCTTGGACTGTATGGCTTGCATGGCGTTCAATTCAACTCTGCAAGGACAGGATAGCTAACATGTGTTTGGAATCTACGGGCTATATCTCCCCGGCTTATTTCTCGAGGGCTCAACGTACGGTGCAATCATTATTCCGCCAACGCGTACTTGTCCTATACACCGATAACAGGGTTCTCACATGTCTAGGCGCACGTTCACCGGCATCCGAGTACACCGGGCTAGAACAAACTCGTTTTCAAGAGGTGGGGCCTAACCCAGGCCTAGCCTGGACAGTAGCGAGTAATGACGATATTGATCGCTACTTGTAGTCAAGATCGGGCAGATCGCATGCACCGCATTCAGCATAGGGCAGGTTAATGATCTTCCCTTGAGGCTGATTATACTGTTTCACGGTGATTTCGGCGGCCTTCCAAAACAAACTTTCAGGCCGACCCCGTACATGGCCAAATAAGCAAATTATGGAAAGCCACTGCAAGCCTATTTCGCCCCGATGCGTATTCCCCAACGCCTTTTTTTCAAATAAAGGCCCTTGACCCCCGCCTTGCGAGCAAGCAAGAAAGTGTCCCTCAAGCTTGTAGTTTTTTACTTGTAGTACTTTATCACCAAAAAAAATGACACTCTTACACACATTGCTCAAGGCAACAGCCTTCAAGAACCCATTGCTACGCACACTTGTCCCTACGGTTGCCCTTGCATACGGCATCCAAGCCGCCGTAGCCATCCCCTCCATCGCCGCACAAACAGAACGCTACTACGACCTCAGCGGCAGCCTGACGTACCTCTCCTGCACAGCCCTCAGCCTCACACTTCCTTACCTGCGCGCCCGAGCCGCGGGAACAGCAACAAATGGCCTCGTCGACTACTTTGGCAATCAAGGTCTCGGACAGGGAACGACGTGGTGGTGGAGACAAGCGCTGTTGAGCGCTGCGGTGGGCCTATGGGCTACCAGATGTATGTGTTTGTGTGAACCGGGTTTTGAATCCTTCCCTCCCCCTCCCCTTTTCCTCCATTCCTACGAACTCCACGTGACATACTACAAACAACAAACAACGACTTTTTAGCTAACAATGATGGCCGGTGAATAGTGGGATCATACCTCTTCCGACGCATTTCCAGCGACAACGGCAAAGACTCGCGCTTCGACTCGATTCGCTCTTCCCCCCCGAAATTCCTCGTTGCCTTCTTCGCGCAGGCCGCGTGGGTCTCGCTGTGTACGCTTCCCGTTATCCTTGTCAACTCTGTGCCGCGGTCTGCCTACGCTTCTTCGTTGCTCGGACAAGCTGTGTCGTCGAAACCCTACCTCACGGATATCTTGGGTCTGGCGATTTTCGTCTTCGGATTGGGGTTCGAGGTCATTGCGGATAGGCAGAAGGATGCGTGGGTGCAGGCGAAGAAGGCGAAGAAGCATGAAGAGCAGTTTTTGACACATGGGCTTTGGGCCGTGTCGAGGCATCCGAATTATTTTGGTGAGGCGACATTGTGGTCCGGGATTGCGGTTGCGGCGGCGGGACTGTTGGTGAGGCAGCCGGCGCAGACGGCGTTGGGGTTGAGTGGTGGGGTTGGAGGGAAGATGCTTGTGACGGGCATGTGTGCAGCGAGTCCGGCTTTTGTAAGTTTTTTGCTGCTGAAGATTAGTGGGGTGCCGTTGAGTGAGGAGAAGTATGATAAGAAGTATGGTGGGGATGAGGAGTATCAGCGGTGGAAGAGGGAGACGCCGATGTTTTTCCCGAAGCTTTGGTAGGGGGATGGTAAGTTGGAAGGTTGTTTTGTGATAGCGTATTCGTTTGGGTGGGAAGGATGAAAAGCGGGTTATGGTGAGGATTGTTGGATAGATGGCTGGAGCAATCGTAAAGGGGGAATTACATGTACAACAAAAATCGTCTTCGTCACTTCTTTCGTGTTCACCTCCCCTTCTAACACCCTCCCTTCTCTCTTTCCCTTTAAACCTGAAACCTCCACCTAGGATGCCTATCACCCAACGCCAAATCCTCCACACTATCATGGAACCCAGGTGTGTGCGGCTCACTCTCCAGCACCCTATCTTTCTCCGCATTCTCCCGATTAAGCACCACCCACAACGCGCTGACAACCACTAAATTCAGTATCAGATACCCCAGCGCAAAACTGTGTCCGAGAATGTATCTCGGCCCGCTATTCGCACGGTACAGTTGCGTACCTAGCACAGCACCCAAATTGCCAATACTGATTTGCAGTGCGTTGGCTGTTGCGCGTTTCGTCTGACCGCTGACATTGATGGCGGGCCAGCAGAGGACGAGCGCGACGGACGGGTAGATGCCGACGGCGGCGAAGAAAGTGCCTACATATGATACACCTGGGCGTGCACGCGGATTCGTGTTTGCAAGCAAGATGATGTAGCCGATGATTGCCAAGGTGGAAGTGAAGAGGATGAAGGCGGCGCGGCGGGCGTAGCGTTCGGAGAGGATGGCGACGAGGATTGTAAAGAGGGTGGCGAGGGCGTAGGGGGGGATGGTGAGGAGTTGGCTCTGAGCGGAGGTGTAGCCCATGTCCTTTATGATTGTGGGCTGTTTAATAGTGAGTATGGCTGGTTGGTGTTTGGGGCTGGGAGATATAGGGAGATACATACCAGGAAGAGAGATAAAGTATACAGTGGCAAACTCATTGTATGAAATCCAAATGCATAAAGCCATACTTTGATATCTTTGGTTGCAAGAAGTACTTGGTCCCAGGAAAAGGCTTCATCGTTTGTGGCGTCACTGTCGGCTTTGAGACGTGCTTGGAGAAATGTGCGTTCCTTGGTGGAGAGCCAAGAAACGGTAGATGGGTAGTTAGAGATGAACCCATATGCAATTACGCCTATGAGTACGGTGGCGATACCTTCCTGTTTATCTACGTTAGTATACATGCGATTCAAGAGATTGTGAAGCATGTAGTACGTACGAGGATGAAAATCCACCGCCATCCCGGCTGCCCAGCTACACCACGCATGTGCGCAATACCGTATGCGAGGATCTAGTCTCACTGTCAGCTTATACTCTTCTGTTTCCTTCTTGAAATAGGGGGAGATTCCACATACACCACCAAAAGCCCCAGCAAGCGACGCACAGCTAAAGAACAGCGAAATTCGATACTGCCGCTCATTCCGCTTATACCACATACTCAGATAATATACGACTCCCGGGAAAAGTCCAGATTCTGCGACACCAAGGCTATTCAAAATCTCCTGTTAGCCTCTCTTCATCTTTCCCTCCAAACCACCAGCTTGGGATTAAAGGGGGGGGGGAATAGTTAGAGAACTTACAAAAACCGCACAATCAAAAACCCCGTCAAATTCTGCACAATTCCAATCAGCGTCGCCACAACCCCCCACGCCACCGTCAGCGTCGGCAGCCAGAACCGCGGCGTCGTCCGCTTCAAGACGATATTGCACGGAATCTCGAAGAGTACGTAACCGACAAAGTAGAGAGTGAGACCGGTTAGATATTGGTTTCCGGTCATTTTTAGGTCTTTTGTGAGACCTTCGATGCGTGCGTTTGCGACTGTGTATTCCGTCAGTCTTGCTGTTCTTTCACATCTCCAATCCACACTTGAAAGATAAGGGGAGAGATGAGGAGGAAGAGGAAAGGGAATGATACCATTACTCCGATCCAAAAACGACAACAAGTACAAAATCGACACCGCAGGCAACAACCGCAAATCCAATTTCCTCAGCAACCTCTTTTCCTCGGCTTCAGTCGTCTGCGCAAGAACTTGTTGCTCGTCGGTCGTGATATCCGAGTCGCTGAGCGCATGCTCAGCATCGCGTTTTTCTTCCGCCATATCCTTTCTTTCAATTTCGAATCCTGACTTGTAAAGATTATCAAGCCAAAAAAAAAGAATTTTCAATCACAACCGGGGTTTGGGCGGAGATAGCCAGAAGTAGAAAAAAAAGGATATATGGCGACGGGAGAGAGAGGAACAGCAAGTGACAGGGCGACAAAAACAAAGTTTAATCAGCCAACGATAAAAAAAAAGGCGAGGCTTTTTATATACCTCCCGATTTCAACAAGACCCCCACCACCCCTTGTCTGAACTATCACCCTCCCTCCTCCCCAAATGATGCAAGATCCCCCCCCCCTCCCAATCCCTTCCATCTTTGCCTTCTTCTACCACCACCACCGCCACCCCATCCCGCTCTATTCTGCCGTCATACCCACCTCCACTCATGCATTGCCCGTAGCGGCAGCTACTAGCTCTCCATGTATCCATTTGCCCGCCCCGTTCGCCAAGGCGACATTGCGTGATTGGAGAGAACGTAGCTACAGAAAAACGTAGCCAGGGTGATGGCTATTTGGGAGCCAGACACGGGCGCAAATTGGAGACAACGGGACTTACAGAACTCCAGCCCAGTTTTTTTGACATGTTTCTACGCCCATTGGGCGTTTGGGCTTGGAGTAAAGTAAGAAGCCAAGCGGCATGCCAATCACGGCCAATGAATTGCTTGTTTCTGCCGGTTCGGTAGGCCGCTGTCTTGGGGGGGATGGGGTGCGGGTGCGGGTGCGGGTGCGGGTTGCGCGAAAGACGAAATCGAGGGGTGGGATGTCGTGATGTGCATTGGTGGGTGGGGCTAAGCCTTTTTGGGAATGTAGTGTGGTGGATTGGATGACGGGGAACGTGGGGTTGGAGACGGCGGCGGGTCAAAGCTTCGGGGGCTTGAGAGAAAGGCGGAGGGGAGTAGGAGAGAAACTTTGGTTGGTTGTTTTGTATCAGATATGGTTGCTTGGAATGAAAGGATTTTGGGTTATCATGTTTGCATTGCGTGATGAATAAGGTTTCATGGTGAGATATGTACGGTGATCGTCCCCGTGTAGGCACAAAAGTATAATTGAAAAAATATACATGTGGTATCTGTAACCAAACTCTCTTCA